TTTTCAGCAATGACAGCGGCTGTGTGTTTATGCTCAGTTCTCGATTCTGGTTTGTATGAAGTTCAAACGCAGTTTCGCTTTATCTATTCTGTTTTTATCTATTCTGTCTCTTTTCTTGGAGTAGGCCATTATAATTATTATTATTTCTATAATTATTTTCATCATTATTATGATCATTGTTTCTATCTTTATTTTTATTGACAATGTTATCATTATTCCTATAATTATTATCATTATTATTATTATTATTTGTATCATTATTTTCATTATCAATGCTATTATTATCATTATCATCATCCAAATTATTACTATTATCATTATCATTACTATTGATTTTACTATTATTATCAATACCATGATTGTTAAAATTTTCATCATTGATATTATCTTTATTATATATATCATTATCATTTTTACACCTATTATCATTATCATGCCTATTATCATTACTGCTGGTGTTTTCATTATTATATTATTATTATCCTTATCATAATTATCATTATCATCATTACCATTATCATCCTTATTATTGTTATCATCATTATAATCATTATTATTTTAATTATTATTATTATTATTATTATCATTATTGTTATCATTATTATTACTAATATCACTATTTCTATTATTACAATCTCTATTATTATTATTATTGTTATTATTATTCTCACTATTGTTTGTATTATTACTATCCTTATTACCACAATCATTATTATCACTATTATTGTTATTATTAGTATTAGTAATAGTAATCGATTAGTAATATCATTATTAAAACCCTTATCATTACTGTTATCATTGATGCAGTTATTAGAATTACTATTATTGTGGTCTTTGTTATCACTGTCAAAATCATCATTATAAATGTCATTATTACTGTTGTTGCTATCATTATCATTAGTAGTAGTAATAGTATTAGGAGTATTTGTAACAGCAATACCAGTAGTAATGATAATGATGATTATTACTGATAATTAAAGATGCATCCTTCTTAAAGACTACTATTGTGCTACTGCAGTCACACACACTCACTCACACACATATCAATTTGGTTATCTACATATACATACAAACATATATCTTATGCTTATAGTGAAACTATGATTATCAACACTCACTGAAATTCTTAAGACTTACATCATAAATAAAGAAGGCTAATTTTGCCCTCTCATGCTGTAGAGTGCAATCTCTCATGACTGTCATCATTAGCCCAGTCATTAGTACACTTGTTATTTCCATGTCATTCTCTTGGCATGCAATATCATTATAACATTATTATTACAAGTATCTCAGTGACCATTTTTATTCGAGAATGAACAGAAATTCATCATAAACATTATAGTAACTTCTTGCGAAGTGATGATTTTGTTGTATTTTTTGTTTTTATGGTTAATGACTTTATGTATTTTAATTTTCATCATACAGTTATATATACATCATTAATATAATTTGAGTTTATTATTTACAAAATAATTTTCAACTACAGTAGGCTTATTATCATTATAAATTTGACATTTGTCTTCACATCACCACACAACATATTTCACTCTACACAATTATTATGATTTCTGCAATTATCTGCAAATTCAGTAAAAGTCCTTACCGACCATTTCCATTTATATCTTACTGTGAAAATTCAACAAAACATAAGATAAATTACTTTACCATATAATACCAATATTTGATAATTCTTTAACAAAAAGGATACAAATAAGATAATCATTGTATAAAATTTATTCAAGAAATATTTCTTCACAGTTTTTCACAAAATACTTATAAAAATATTGTACCCTGCATGAAGTTATTACAAATTACAGAATCCGAGGTACAAGTAGCAACACTATAATACAAACCTTGCATACCTGAAATTATCTTTCAAAGGCTATGCAGTCACAGGTTAGTAAAACTACAGTACCTTACATCAAGGTAAGTAAACAACAACAATATATAAAAGTTTCACAGTACTTAAACAAATCAGCAAATGTTGAAGATACCCTATGAATTCAATAAATACAACATAAATTAAATCATGCACCATAAGTAAAATATTATCACATAAATACAATGATCAATTCTGGTCATCTTTAGTCATTGAACCAACTGGTCTTTTCTGGTGATACTATTTTTGAAGCATCTGTCTAACATGAAACTTGTCATACTTCAACCTAACTACAATTTCAAATGTTGTGCATCTCTCCTCATGGAAAATGCCTGTAAGTTGTGCATTTTATATGGATAGGCATACTTGTTCAGTTAGCCCTATATAGAAATATTGGTTTTAGTATACACATCAGCCTACTGACTACATTTGTATCCATCAAAATATTTTTTTTCAGGGAACTGACACACTCCTTAAGTATGCATCTACTCTTGGAGATTTTGCTTCACAAAGTCTTTTACAGACAATGAGGAAGAAACGACAGATAATCTCACCTTCTGCTGATGTCTTAGAGTAAAAACTAGTTTTCTTATTGTTCTTTTATAAGGTTTGTTGATCAGT